CTTCCAAGGGGGATGCGGACGAGGCCGGGGCCGACTTGAAGAATGCGAGAACTTACAATCGCAACTTGAGGAAGAGACTACTCAAGAAGAAAGGTACGCCGTATAGGCCCAAAAGGGTGGTGAGGGCCTACGTGTTTGCATTGTTCAATGAGAATTTGAAGCCCGGCCCAACTTCAGAGAGGAACTTTGGGCTTTTCAGGGCTGATGGGAGCGTGTCGTACGATGTTGGGTTCACGGGGCTTGTCCCCAGCAGTAGCGGGGGTTACTCGCTCTTCGCCTCTCTCAACCTCTTGTTGATTTCTGTGCTTCTGGGTTTGGTGGTGTGATTATATTGGGCAGGGAAGGATTCTATTCATTTTATTCTTTCTCATTTTACTGATTTTTTTTTTAAGGTTGATTTTCTCGGTTTTATTTGTATATTTATTATTAAAATTTAAATCTACAACTTGGATATATCTCTAGAGCTTGCATGCATGAGGAAAATCATGTAGAATTAACATGATAGGCACATAATGTAGCATGTACGTATACAAATATTGTACATCTACATATCAATGGCCCAAAGTTATTATCATTAGATGAGTCGGTTAGTTATATTTATTAAAAGAAAATGTATATTTATCTGAATCTACATATATTGAAAGAAGTTGATGGATAATTCGAAAGTGGAAAGTTGATTTTTTGTTTCAATAGTTTGATTTACTTACTGAGGAATTTTTTTGAAAATTTTAAAATTAACTTTTATCCTTTTGCAAGAAATTTAGTTTTTAAAATTGTATGCTTAAATATTATCCTACCTTTTTGGCTTCTTATAGTGCACTTTAATTTTTAAAATTGTAGGCCAAAATATTGTCAACTTTCTTTTTAAACAATTTATGTGTCATATTATTTGAAAACAATTATGTACCAATAAATCTATTTAAAAATGCAAATTTATTTAAAAATGGACGACAACAATTTTTGGTATTACGTTTTCCATAATAAATCTCAAGCTATGAAATTACTCATTTACGTTAATATCCTAAATCGAATATTTCTAATATTTTAATTACATATAAAATCATCATGATGTTTAAAATGTTTGTGTTTATCATTTCTCATTACAAAAATAAATTAATAATAAAAATAAATTAATTAAGCATTAAGTAAGGGTAATTGCTAATTTTTCACACCTAATTATTTATATATTACTTTTTATTGTAAGTATTTATATATATTATATAAACAAAAAATTATTATTTTTAAAAATATAATAATTGATATGCAAAATGTCTCTACTATGTAGTAACTCATGTTGGTATTGAGTTATCGCGATAATTGAAAAATCAGTCGATTGATTTTAATTTTTAAAATATGTTTATTTTTTTTATAAGTATGCATAAAGTAAGAAGTAGATTACTTATCTTTAGATATATATATAATTTATAATCTTAATATATTGTCATTTGTTACAAACATTTACTACATGAATCATAAAATATTTTTTATTTCATAAAGTTACATATTTTAAAGGAAAATAAGAAAATTTCATTTGATCAATCGAGTGATTGAATTAGGTAAATGCTCAGTATTAGTTCTTATTTAAAATAGTCAAAAAACATGACACAACTGATGTTGATCTCGGTTGACCGAGTTATGAGTCAATGACACAATTGAGCCGAGTGACCAAATTATGGGTCAGTTTGACCAGAACAAATCGATTATTAAACTAAATATATATAATTTTAATATTAATTAAAAATACTTTATTATAATAAATGTAATGTAGTTCATACTGCAAATAATCATATTAAGAATGCTTTTACATCTAACATGTTCAAGGATTTATGAACACTTATATGTTATTTATTAATATTTATGTGAACAAAATGATATTGCATTACAATTTTATTAATGTACTGTAAATCCAAAGTTCTCAGAAGAGGACCGTTTTCAAACCGATCAAGTTATTAGTTCAATGATTTTTTGGTTGCATCATAATTTAAATTATTAATATTTTAATAGATATATATATATATATATAGTAATTTTTATAACAAATTTATTAATATATTAATTAAATATATGAAGAATTTAAAAAATTTCATTCTTTAAACTAAATGATGAATAATTTATAAATATCCATTTTCTTTAAGTATGTACTTTTATTTATATTAAAAATCAGTTTAAATGTAACAAAATTTATGTAAAAAATCATACTGATACTAACAGTCTTACCGATTGGTGTTGACCGACTTTCTTAGCAAACATTNCTAACCCTAAACAAATAGGAATAAAATAAAAAATTAAAAGAAAAAATATGAAAATAATTTTATTCCTAAAATAAAATAGGAATAAAATAAATAACTAAAAAGAAGATATTGTAAATAATAAAAGGCCTAAGTTATATCCATTGTGATTTCCACCGACGAACACCCTTAAAAACAATTTACTCTTAGATCGAGTTATTCAAATTCGACCAAAGTGGGGGAGCCAATATGATATAGGATATCATAAGGGAGTAAATCGGTCGAGCAAAATCAGATAGGGTGGCTTGGTAGAACACCACAGAATCAAGAGCCTTTGATCTGGAAGGCAGGGGTTCAGTACGGGAGGCCAGGTCAAGCTAGATCCCTCGGATGGCGTAGTCGAAACTCGACATGTAGCTGAAAATGGTCGTCTGATCGACCATCACTCAGACTTGGAGCAGTCAGCGCTTCACCTCAATCGACCTGGAGCTGGTCGGATTATTAAGTGGTCGTCTATTCAAAGGAAGCCCCACGTGGACCAAACTATATGGCACCATCTCATTGGTCCACACCTTGTAACCTTCTCTGACACATTCTGACAAAGAGATTGTACTACCTGGCAGCTCGGGCAGCTAGGGTAGCCAGCTCACTATATTCGGGCAGCCTTCTAGAAGAAGGTACCATATCCCTATAAATAGGGGTGAGATGTGTAAATTTATCTCATTACGTTCTATATACCTTATATTTTCTGCAAATCATCTTCTACACATACTCATTTAAGCATCAGAGGCTCTTCACTGGAAAGCTTCTCCGGTGTGAGCTTTTTGCAGGTCGAAGGCGTTCCACTAGCGAGGAAGCATGTGAGAAAGCCGATTCCAGTCGGTCAAGGAATTTTTCGTACCACCCGTGGTCTGACAAATAGGGCCACGCTTGCACAAATTCACTCTCTTGTTTGAGATCATAAGCTTGACTTTGTTGGTTTTCTTGAGCTGATGATGCCCACCCCCTCTTTTAACTTCTACTCATGAGCTTTCTACTGCCTACTTCCCCAAACCCTCTTTCCACACTTTGGTTTACGTCAGATGTAGGAGTATTGAGTGTTATAGTCTCTAGGACACCCTGCGTGATATTGCTCTGAGTATGAAGGGATTACTGTGGATGGTAAGCGGTGATCTCAACATCTTTCTTAATCTCGATGAGCATGTGGGTGGGCGTTCCGACCATTTAGGAGAGAGGTTGGATGTTGAGCAGGATTATGATTTGGACCCCACTCTGGACAATAGGACCGCGATGCGCCGCTGCCATGCTGAGTGTCAGCTCTGACTTCTTATGGAGGAGGATTTATGATCTTATGCACCATTTGGAACAATGTCCGCTGTTGGGTACATTAGGGCATTGCAATTGTTTAAGGAAAGACATTTTCCTTGAACAGATATTTTGACTTCGAAAAAGAAGATTCCCAAACAGCATCTCTAGATTGTTGCCATCAGTTTCTTTTTTTTTCGAAACGATAAAGATATTATAGATAAAAGAGCACAATTGTGCAAAGATACAGCCCCTAGCTGAATATTACATCTAAAAGTTGAAAAAACTGGGAGGACGGATCATAAGGCCGCCTAGAATTCACGCTAGCAACGCTAGAAAAAAACACAAGACACTCAACCCGACAAACACCTAAACACAAAACTACCAAGCTCCCCACAGGAGAATAGGAACGGCCCCCACAGGGTAATCAGTACAGAGACCAACGGCCCAGACCAAAAACACAATCCCTACCTAACAACACAACACACAAACAAATAACAACTAAATAAAAACATCAACACAAAACAAATCCTTCCTCAACAGCTAGAGAGAGCCAAAGCCAGTGGACAAAAGACGAACCCCAAAAGTGGTCCGCAACCTGAGAACCGCCCCCGAAACTGCCTAAATGCCTATATGAGACGGAAAAGCAAGCCCCAAACCCAATCCGAAGATCGACCACCCATCAGCCGAAAAGAAACCTAAACACTCCCCACACCACCACTGTTCCGAAATCGGCCAACACCACTAGACGAGTTCGGCAACACCGGCACCCCCCCAGACCCAAAACCAGAGAACGGAGGAGACAGGAGGTCGAAAGGCTTCAATACTCCAGCCACCGCGCACGACTGCCGGCTAAGATCGGCCAAACTAAGGGCAACCCACCACCCACACCACAGCACACCAAATCCGCCAACACCACTGGCAAATAGCGGCGTACCGAAAACCTCACCGACACCAAGGATTCGGAGAAGAACAGGGGACGAGAGAAGCACCTCAACCCCAACCACCCACCCCGACGAGGACGCCGCTAGCCGCTAGCCGCTCGAGCCTCTCCCAGCCCCAACGCCTAAACCCACCCCAATCCGCCATGGAAATTGGGAAGTCGAATACCTCAACCGTACTCCGGAAACAGAGAAACAGCGAGGTTCGACCACGAACAGCCGCTCGACCCCCGACCTCCATAGCAACCAAATTGAGCAGAACAACAGGGGAAAAGGGAGCGCGGCCAAGGGCTGACTACCGGCGAAGGCCGGTCAGCCGGTGAGGAGGCGCACGATTGGAAGAGAAGGGATTGACGGCAATGGTATTTGGGAGAGAAATTAGGGCAGAGACGGAGAGCTATTTTGTTGCAACTTCAGACTTGTAATTTAAAATTTTGTTACCATCAGTTTCATTTAAACCAATTGTTGCCGATCAGATTCATTTAAACCAGTTTCTTCAAACTGACATGTTCAGCCAAGAACACCATTTTCTTCGAAATCAACTGTTGCCAAAACATATTAGCTGTTCAATACGTGCATATTATATTTTTATTAGTATCTCCACTGATACTTCTACGTGGAACAACACTTTTGAAGAATCCAAAAACTCACAACACATCCACGCAAGTAAAACCCTGCCGAATAGTACCAACACTAATTCGTGGGCACAAAATGATATCCACAAAGACGCAGTTCAGTTATATAGCATTGATGTAAACTACAAAAGGTACAATTCTCGACTTCGCAAAAGGAACATGGCAACTCTTACACATCATTGGATACATATCTACAAAACGAGAAAACCCTGCAATTTTTTCTCATCAAGACAAAAACGAGCAAATGCATCTTGGGACAAAAATCAAGTGAAGGCATCTTCTCTATCACCCTCTGCAGTGGCACCTTCCTCAAGGTTGCTGAACTCCAAGAAATGGGTGGGCCGGTGTTCCTCATGGTAGTATTCATGGGGTGTGCCAAGCTTCAACCCGTATGTCATGCCTGGAGCATGTTTTACGCCCATAAAGTTGTAATTCCAAGGACGATTGTCAGGTATCTGAAAATTAAGTTAGATACAAAAAAACAAGTAAGCTCCCTGTTTGTGAGATTAACATAACAAGACTAAACCCTTTTTTGAATATAACATATGAACTCCCTTTTTGTTATTTATTTCTTTTTTTTTTTTAACTGAAAAGGTTTAAGTAAGTGCCGAAGCATTACCATGTAGAAACCGAGAAAACGGTCGCTCAAAAGCATCTGAACTTTCTCATAGTAAGTAGGCAGATAACCGTGTGGATTGGCAGGTGCATCCTTATTACTCTTACCCCATTCATACCCTGATGGAGTTAGCTTGTATGCAGTTAATGAGCAAGAACCAGGAGTGAAACTGCATGTCAGAATTATGCATTTCTCTCCATCCCATTGTCTGTTGTTTGCCAAGATACTAGCATGGCTCACAAGATCCTACATTCACAAAATGTTAATATTATAAAAACACATAAAATATAATTACAGTATAGATAATAAGTAGTCTTTCAATATTTTACAGATACAGCCTTGAATCAATATGTTGCAATTTTACAAATTTTATTAAATAATCAATATATTAAACTTTCTTCAAGGTATTATCTAAAAGACCACAATGGTGTTATTTGTTATATTATAAGCAAACGAGATTCTTATAATTTGGTCGATCCAAGGGCTGTTCCTATAGTCAAACCCAGCACAAAACATTCAAAAATATAGATTTGTCATGACTTCAAACCTGTGGTGACAGCTGAGGAAGCTCGTTTGGCTGTGTGTGCAACCATCCTAAAGGCTCCAAGTCATTCAGGAAATCGTGCTCAGGAAGTGCCAATGGTAGATTAACCTGCTGGTGCGTACCCCACTGTGGCGGCATGGCGATACAGCGGATCTCCTTCACCTGGGGATTGTCCGGAGGACTTACTCCATAAAGGTAACCAGCAATCTGAGTGCGCAGGTCAGCAATGCATATGAACTTCTTCAATATATTCTTGGGCATGATGTAAGTATACCCCGTTTCCTTCATAAATTAATCAAACAAGAAAATTAGTAAAATAAATAAATATACAAATAAATAAATATATATATATATATATGATGCTATTTTATGTAAAATACACGCAATTCTATTGAAGAAACTATGGAAAATATACCTTAATGTCCTCCGAGTTCACGTATATGTGATTGACACGAAGATGGAGATTGGTGGCTGATATAGCTCGGACACGCCAGTCAGTTTTCGACCCGAACGCGGCCTGTTCGTAAGGACTGATAGTTGTGACAATGATGGAATCACCATGCACATTTGTTGTTCGAGTAGTGACTGCTGTGAGCTGACTGGCCTCCTTTGCCTAGAAAATAATTGATAAAGCAGTATTAAAAACAGGATCCAATCAACTAAATGCAAGAGGGAAATACTATGCCGCAGAAAATAGATAAATTGCCTGTTTCTCAATTTCCGCAATTTGTTGTCGCTGTTGTGAAGGCGGAGTGATCTCTGCTCCAAGAATTATATCACGGATTTCTGATTGGGTCAATGCCGACGTGTTCACGTTGTTCTTCTTGGCATAGTCAGAAAGGATCAGATCTCTTAGGGCAACTTCAACCTGCAGGTCGTAGAATGGCATGGAATATGAGAAATACAACCCTCATTACCATAAAACAGAAGAGGTGAAAAAGAATCAATCATCTCTCAAGATTACAGATAACCCACTCGATTTGCCATGCTTTCTTCTACACTATGGAGCTCACTATAAGGAGGATCAATACTTAAAGAGAGTATGCATTTCATGAGATAATTAATTGTTTTAAGAGATAATTAGTTTGAGTATTAATTTCAAAGATAATAATCCCAGAAGAGGTTTATTAAATTGTCTTACCTTTGTCCACTGGTCATCTGATAAAGACGGCCAGATATGGTGGGGCTCGGTGATGATAGTCTTGTCAGGCTTCAGCAACATCTTTGCCTTCTCATTGTTCACATGAAGAGCTCGCAAAATCAATATCAGCCTGGAAAAAGCTGTGTATGATGAGATAGTCTTCAACCAGTCGTCATATATGTTGAACAAGACCATCTGGGGCTCTGTGGCCTTCAGGATCAGATCACCAAATTTCTCAATCTTCAAGCAGGCTTGGAACGGCAGTTGCAGCTCACTTCCTTTGATGACAATATTTGGGAAATCGAGCAAGTGGACTTCAAGAGGATCCAACATTCCTTTCCGTGTCACAATTATTTGTTTCGGCTGCTCTTCAACAGGCAAGGATCGGACTAGGGCAGCAACTTCTTCAGCAGTTTTCCACTTGGCCAGCTGACCAAGACGCTTTTGCCCAGCCCATACACTCGTGTGAATGACCTGTACAAGTACAAGAAGAGGGAAAAGTTGAATGTCCAAACTGCAAAAAAATAAAAAATAAAAAACAGATAAAACAGATAAGCAGCAGTCAGAAACGAACCTTCAGAAATAGTTGGCCAGTTCTAGGGTTGAATATGAAAATGGCACCATTGATAGGTTTTGTTGTCAGATTTCCCTCGAACGTCTTGTGTATCGTGACACGATACACATTCGTGTCATCCACAAACCAGATTATCTGATTGCTGAATATCTCCCCATAATTTTGAGATGACAGGTAAGGTTCTGTAGGTTCTGAAGAATACAATTGCAGCCCTTTCCTAATACGTTCTCTCAGAACATACAACGCCGGATTGGACTGCATTCGAAAAAATGCATTTAGCAACTGAATAAAAATGATGTGTTAAAACAGTAACTATAAATATGTTGATCCATACCTTCATGATCTTGTTCATGGCCTGAGCAATCAGTGGGTTAGACCCAGGGAACCAATTTCCAAATGCAGAATGCAGATTATAAGCTAAATCAAGTCCAATCATAACCCCTGCAGAAAACATAATGAGTTAAAAACTAATATGTATGAGAAATAACATTCCAGTTGCCATACACTAATAACATACCAGTTGGCGATGGATATATCGACATATTGTCCGTCGTATAGTCCATAAACTTCGCCCTGGTGTACCGCTCAATGTCATGGGAATCATAATCACCCCACCTTAGCTGCACGTCTATCCAATATTTATTACTAGCCTTCTGGTCAAACACATCCTTTGACTCAGCAACAAGACTAGGCTTTGACATGGGCCATCTATGGGCAGCAAAGAGTAGTATATCAGCACATGAGCTGTTCATTTTGTAACTCTTTCGAGGGTGGATAGTTTCTTTCTGTACGGTCTCGATCTCTAGAGCATCCAGCTCTTGATCCAAAACCTGGCAAAGATCCATCACCACACTTTCATGTATCTTCTGCCACAAGTGGGCACGGAATATCTGAATTAGAGATATCTTTAGAGTTGGTATCTTTCCATGCATGAAAATCCCCGTGAGATCCAGCTGTACTTGGAAACCAACATATACATTCGCTCTGTTTATAGTAGGCGACCACCAAAGCGTAAACCTCCTGTTAGGAATTTGGTTAAGTCCAGACCGTTGTGCGTTGGTTAATTTCTTATACTTCATGGACTCCTCAAATCCTGAAGCCTTCTCCCAGAAAAGACCCTCCCACGTTGGGAAGCTGAACCAAACAAATAGTAAATCAGTATAGTCACACAAGAAAACTTTACCAGAACTCTTAGGACCGAGAAAAATGAAGCCTGCAAAATCACTTTAGATGTAATTTAGGTAGACAGGCCACCACAAAAATATAACATTTTCAAAAACAACAGAGCATTGCAATTCACATTATAGTCTCAGACCCAATGACAAAAATGATTTAACAGTTACGATTACTCAACGTTGAAATTTTTAGATATAAACCTTCATGTATACACATAACCACCCAGACAAAGCAATACATAGCAAAAGAACTAATGCTACAAAAAAGGAGCTTACTATGTTCCCTTGAACAAAGTGTGTTCAAGGATTCCTTCGACTCCACCCAGAGCCTGAATAACATCAGTTCTGTAATTGTTCAAGTTCCACAATTTCCCATCATGCCTCTGGTGCGTCCACCAGAATGGATTCTGCTTCAGTACCTGATACTGCTTAAAGTCTGTTCTTACTCGCCATCCTTTGTCATATGCAAGAGTGTGGCGATCTTTCTGAAACAAGGTGTTGATCCGAGGAATCCCACGATCCCATGAATCCTGAAAAATAAAGTGTTTAACATGTAACGTGTCTCTTTATGAATAATAAATACAAATGTCAAATAAAAATGGTAAAATATTGCAATTAATCACATATTGAACCCGGAAAGAAGAGGCAAATGACGGAACCAATATAAGGCTTGAATAAACAACCTAGTTCATGATAATAACACCCACAAAGCTAACCAATGAACACCATCCAGCGAAAGAAATAAAGATGACGATGTGAATGACCATAAATAAACGCAAATAACTCACTTCCAAATCCTCCAAGGTTAATCGCCGATTCTGGGCCTGTGCTTCCTGCCTCTTCAAAGCATATTCAGCCCACACACGCTGAGAATCAATGAACTCACTCTCCCATGGCTGCCACAGTCAAAAGAATATCATAAAACAATGACACATCCATGAACACAAAAATAAAATATATAGCAATAAAATAATTCACATGCCTGAATGTATCGATACAGATTAGGAATCAATTGATCTTCCTCGTGACTCATTCCACTCCTAAAATGTGTTACCCCAACATCAGTCTGCTTACTATACCGAAGGTCACTCTGGGGAATCAAGATATGGCCCATAGACAACATTCCAAGCCCTCCAATTTCTTTAGGTGTGTAGAAGATAACTGGGGGAAACCTGACATCAAACAAGTTCCGTAAATTTCTAGAAGTCCAAATAGAGAATCAAAGAAACTACATGAGTCCAACTAATTAATTTTACCTGCTAGGCATCTTTGAGTTCAACCCAATCTTAATACGAGTCTGGATCTTATTTTCACATTTTACTAGCAGATCCAGCAATTCTTGTGTGTGCACAGTTGCTTCACGGAAATATGTCATGAGTCCTGTAGCATACAAAAGGTTTTCAGATGGGAATGCCTACGTGCAGGCAAGTTAAAACTATGAAGCACAACAGCACCCAACAGAAAGCAAAAGAGATGTTCAATGTTAACCTATAAGCGCCGTATTCCACTTGTTAACAATCTTTGTGAAAGTTGTTGAACCTGAGGACATGAGAATTTGCCTCACTCGGTTCTCAAATACCTTCATGTGTTCATCATCTACCCTTAAGAAAGCAACAGCAGTACGTTCTTTTGTCTGCTCATTCTGCAAATTCCAAACTCCGTCTTTTGTGTTGCTAAAAGCTTCCTGGGTCGTTCTTATCTTGGGCAATATACGCACTTCAAAACCACACCTTCACATTGTAAAAAAAATTATTAATGTACTCAACTTTACAGGACAGTCAAAAAGTGAAAAGAGGAGAGTGGACATAGTATACATAACAAAAGGACGTACATGCTGAAAAGCAAGTTTGGATTATCTTTGCTGTACACAGACACAAAGCTGTTCTCCCATTCGAGGGTGGTAATACTCCGTGGAAGACGGTTTTTCATATCCCAAAAAACACTTCTTCCAAGATTCACTAAAACAAGAATGTCAGGACATATTAGCAACATGATGATATCAAGAACAGTTGTATGCAAAATGAAACTGAAGTATCTGATCAAAGTATATGTAATTAATGAAATAGCATACCATCATGCTTCATGAGCCGCATTCTGGCATCTCTCGGCCAGCATTTCTTATTGTTATAACCAACCATATTTTCATTATTGGGATCTGGATGTTCCGTAAGATACCGCTGGATAAGATCCCTAGCCTCTTCATGAGTGAAACGGAATAATATATGCACTTTATCAATATATCTTGAGTACAGCCGAATTGGATGCCGTGTTTCCACTCTGGTATCATGATAAGTAATAAACTCGTTCGGCATATGCGGTGGTCCAGCTATCTCACTAGCGCGAGTCAATCCAAGAAGCAGAAGATCCAAAACAAGCCCATAGTACTGCACAACAAATGAAGCAAACTGCAGACCACGTATGAGCCCATAAGAGTTTGTATGACTCATATCTTTGTATGATAATACAACATTATTCTTTGCAGTGACATAATCAGCAATATTATGGTCAAGAACCAAACGCAGAAGCCTGCAAAAATAAGTAACAAAATCAGTTTAGAAGATTCATTCAGTTACTTGCGAAACAACGGGCAGGCAGCTCAGTTGACAGCATTACCTGTTCAGCATGGTTAGATCGATCTTTTCAAAAAACTTCTCGAACTTGGTCTGCAGCATGACCACGCACTGTCCCTCACTAGTGTCCCATATCCCTTGTAAGTTGTTTATCCCCTGACACCATTTGTACACCAACAATGGTGGTGGTTCTGAGTCAGCCGGCTTAATCCAGTTCGGGAAAAGGTGGCGTTTATCACCCTCGTACCACAGGTACTGGTCCAAATACGCATCAGTGATCTTCTCAAGAGGCTCAATCTCATAAACAGGAATCAGATAGCTATACAAATCCATGAACTCAATGCCAACCTGCAAATGCCACATTATCTGGATAAGAAACTTCCAAAAAAATGATAAACAAATATGTAAAATAATTCATTCTCCACAAAAAATGCACAAAGTATCTTAAAACTTACTTCTTTAAAGGCACGTTGTGTAAGCAAATGACGTTTTATACGGGACAAAGCCTCGTGGGGGTTATCATAGGCCTGCTCAATCAAACCCAATTCTTCTCTTTGCAGCTGGTTCAACCTAACAGCCACACTATAGGACTCCTTCAACCTTTCCAGGGCAAGGATAAGTAGCTTTGTATCATGCTTGTAAGACAATGGAGGGAAAGGAATCGGAGAAAATTTTCTAGATTCCAGCCAATGAACAGTTGTTGTGTAAATGGCCACCGCTTCTTCTGGTGTCACATAAGGACCATCTTTCAAGTAGTTGTGCTGGCGTTCCTGCAAAGAGTTGTGGGAACAGGTACATTAAGAAAAGAGCACTTGTGGGAAAATGTGGTGCCTAATTCTATATATCAATAACAGTTTAAGTAGTACAAGGAGGATAATGTACACACCTGTTCGGCCTTCAACCAAAGACGGGTCAATCTTCCAAGATTCTTTCGGCATACGGTCTTGTCTACTGTGGCTCCCCTTCTAATACGTTCCCTGTTATAATGCGCAACATTTGTCCACCAGTCTGCTTTCGATTTGACATAACGAAGTATCATGTTCTCAATTGGAACTGGTAAACCAGGTACCTTACATGACCAAAAGTAAAAAAGAGAAGATATTCAAAGACAGGACAATAAGAGATTATGAATATGTATAGAAAGTAGTTTAAATAGCTGAAAGTACCTTCCAAGGAATATTGGCTTTCCAGCAACGCCATGCTTCACTCAAATGCTGCAAAATTGTTCTTGCTTTGTTTGCTTTGATACCCTCTGCAAAGAAAACATGAGCATATACTCAGAAGAAAGAAGGAACGCATGACAATGCTTGACGAGTAAAATATTAAAGAAAATAGGAAATATCATAGGTTGCTTGCCTGGCATTGCATCAAGGACATCGTGCATCACAGCAGCACGAAGCTCCAAATCAAAGTGGCTTTCAACGCGTTGTTTTGTCACTGTTTTAGCAACTCCTTTGGAATGGCGTCCTTCAAATTGCCTCGCCAGCAAATTCCCCAGCCACCTTTCCAGGAGAGGAACTATGCCACGAAGGAAAAACAACCACACTCTCCACATAGGTGCCCAAAAGCCACATCCAGGACCCTTGCCCACGGGCCCAGTATTAAAACGATAATAAATTAAATGCTTCAAATCTTTGCACATTCGAATCTGCCGCATCAATCTGTACTTGTATCGGTACATACCCGTTAACTGGCCAACATGTGAAAAGATGTACTGCAACCCATCAGCCAACTGAAATGCATCTACATTCCCCAACCGAAACTGGATATTTGCATCAACGACAAGCTTCGTCAGACGCAGAATTTCACGGCAAAGGTGGAAGGCATTACCGAATCGTGATTTTTTTCGTTCCTTAGTGGTAAGGGTCTTCACAGGTTTCAAGTTAAAATTGTAGTCGAGGTGGAGATAATTCAAATTTTTTCTATGGATCAGCAGGTTCAGCATATTGTACCCTTGCTTACAGACTTGCAGACCTGCTTCAGCCCAATCAAGTTCAGTGGTCTGGAAAAACTTTGTAGCTTGGAGAGATCTGAAGAGGTGTCTCTTCTTCTGAGCCTTGGGAGGTCTGTGATGGAGTTCATTCAACACAAAGCACTTCAAAAGTTTCTGGTAACTGACGCGAACTTTGACAGGGTATGATGGAGGACTGTCGAGGAAAAAAAATAAGAACAATGAGTATCAGAACAAATTATCAAAAGCAGGACACTCATGAGTTACAGAAAAAAAAATACAACATACTTAAATATTCTTACCAGTGCTCCTTGTACCACTCAGACACCAGAGGTATATCTTCAGCACGCCTCGTGCGACCAGATCGCATGTTGAAGGGCCGCGGGGCAAACAATAATGAAATCCCTGCGGCAGTAGTGTCAGTATATATAGGAGTGCTTGTTAGTAATGGTTCAACTCCCTCCGGCAAGACAAAATCATCTTCATCATCTTCTTCATAAATCTTCTTATCCCGCCTATCCTTGTTTGTACTTGTTATGGGGTGAATCAATGGATCGTAATAGAACGCAGGCAAGTCAGGGTCCTCCGTTTTAATGTACATCACCATAGGAGTGTGATAGATGCTAAGCTTTACTTTCCTTGGCCTATTATTATAAAGATGGGGGAATGCAATCCTGTACTCAGTCCTCAAAGGCGAGCGGATGATCAGTTTATTTATGTCATTAAATTCATTCCAGTCCTCATCTCCTTTCTCCATGTCACGATACAGAGGCTCAAACTTAGGACCGCCTGCAAAAACCATAGTTTTAAGAAACATTGTCAATTTAAAGGAACTCAATGCATTATTATATTATACTTGTCGTCCTAATACTCATTTTACACATAAAAAAAAACATGGATAGTTTTAAAGATAATGACATGGCACTATCCCCACAACAGCATATGGCAGCACAAGCGAAAAAACAAACTAGAAGCTCACGGAACCTATTTAACATCTAACATACCAGGGATGCACATGTTGAGAGCTTTGGCAGTGAAGAATGACTCCATGTCAAATAGGTAAAAGTAATTGCGATCAATTAGATCTGAAAGCAATTGCCCGGCAAGTCGGTGAAGTGTAGCCATAATCGGGAGGGAGAGATGCCATTTCCGGTAACTAGGCCCATTAATTAGCTTTGTCCTCACAAGTGGTTTATGATCATAGAACCAAGTGTAGACAGCTGAATCCTCTTCTTCATCCAGTTCCAACTGAATTGGCTCTAAAGGATCCACATCTAGGAGGTTATCAGCATAATCTAGTGGAGGCTCCTCATCATCAAATGGTGGAAAACGCATTCTCTTGAAATGACGACGATCTCTCTTCTCTCTTCTCATCATAATCCACATGGTACCCCACTGCAAATATTACCAAATTAATAAATTAAATTTGAGAATTGATAACAGAAGGAAATTATAAATAGGGACAACTAAATAGACAGTAATTCACTGGCAAAAGGAACACACCTGAGCCAAATAGATAGGTTCAACAACCCATGGAATCTCATTGACAAAAGTAATAGCCCCAGTAATATGGTACAGAACCTTCACTTCACGAACCTAAGAACGCAGAACAAGCAAGTTAATACAACCGTAACAAATGGATTCGGTGCTCAATGTATCACACAACATTCACTCATCAAGGAGCCAAGTGACCATTGATATAATCAGATATTTATACCTGCTCCCAAGGCATTGGCATATTCTCAAGAAGTTTGTATACAGCATGAGGTACAAACTTGAGAGCTCCTAAATACACACGCTTATCATGGCGATATTTCTTCGATGACATGTCACCATGATCCCTGACAGAAAAGAGACACAATCCAGTCAATTCAAACACAAAGAACTAAAAAAAGCAACCTTCATGGTTACAAATAATGAGAATTGAATCAATAGAACGCAGCATTATAAAATCTTACGTTACCAATTCTGCCGTAGACACTCTGTATTAATAGATGATTCAGCAAAGTGAAATATCACCTATAAGGTGCTCTGATCGAGCATGTGCATTAAAAAATCACCAGGGTCTATCATTCATCTTATAAATCATCTAATTATACCTTTTGACCTACTTCTACGGTTTTATCAATTATTCTACATTTAGCTTTTCAGTAACCAATACTGATACAAACCAAATGGATGACCACTAACAACCGCACACCCACCCAGCAGAATATGTTCCCTCGACTCATAATGATTGATTAGCTTTGGAATTCCGATAAAACATTAACACTCTGCAAAAATAAACCCTATCCATCAATTTGGATTTTTCCATCAATTGGTTGCAAGAAACTACTCAATTTTCCAAATATATATGGCAGTACATAGAACATATTTCAGCAATACATATAACGTGTTTTAGCACAATGTATATAAATTGGCCGTACCTACAACATATTTATCAATATGTATAACGAAATGCAGGGTTCCTAGTTCCGAGGTTCAGAATTAGTTCCTATTTGATCCATGGCCTACATATGCGTATGTGCGAGCAGACATTTTTTCTCTCATTAACTTTTAGCATTCAAATTTACAATTACCGGTCAACCCACGGTCACAACTATGACCAATAGTGGAAAAGCTACTTGACCACAAGGATAATTCGTACAAAACCTCTAAGCAACCAAAAAACAATACCTAATGATTTTTCTGACATGTTCTGGAGGCATGTCCTCCTTCTGCGTCTCAACGAATCCAAACTTCCGTTTATCACTGTAACGCTTACTGTTGAGCTGCATCCACTTCCTCGCCCTCTCGTCCAGCTGAGACTCGGTCGGAACAACAGTGTAGGACGGCTGCGAAGACGGCACCGGCGGCAGAACAGGCTGTGCTCCGCTGGTCCCGGGCGGAGCCATCATCGGAGGCATGGCTCCACTTCCGCTCGTCCCCGGAGGCGCCGGATTACTCATATTGTTTCCCCACATATCCTGCCCGCTGTTGTACATGTTTACAACGAGCAAAAACTTAAAACCCTAGCTGAAATAATTCGCTTAAGCTAGATTCAATGTTACTACGGATCTCCTCATCAATGGGTAGAAACTGCAGCGCTTGAAGTTTTCGAGGTTATCCGAAGAGGGAAAAGGGTTTTTCTCGTCGATCTCCTTCGAACAGGATCGAAGCGAGTGTAGAGTGAGAAAGGTATGCGACCTGGGTTTTCAGGTTTTTATATAGGCAGTGATGAGAGATGAGGGGAAATCTATTGTTATTTTTTATTAAAAAAAAAAACATAATTATATTAAAACACTCAAAAAGAGTAAATTCGTGAATGTGTTTGAACTTAAATGTCCATGCTTATTTATTAATTATTTCACTTATATTTAATTCATACTAGTACAGAACCCGTGCAATGCTCGGGGTTTATTATTTCCGTCCGTTTTAAAAAGCAGATTTCAGTTAAAAATTAAAGTACTTACTAAAGGAAATATCATGTCATTAATAAATAATAAATTAATAAATACAACGAAAAATATTCTATATATTATTGAACATTTCCTTATATACAACGTTCATGGTTTGATTCGTTGGCACGTCATCGTCGCCACAAATTAGGATTTTCAAACCATTTCTGTTAGTGACACGGGAGACAGCTACATACAACTGCCCATGACTAAACACCGGTTTCTTAATAAATAAGCCCACATGAAACAACGATTGTCCCTGACTCTTATTTATAGTCATGGCGTAACAGACCATAATGGGAAACTGACGACGTTGGAACTTGAAAGGAATTCTAACATCAGAAGGAGTTATAGCCATTCTTGGAATCAACACTTTATCACATGCGTGATCGCCAGTGAGGATCTTACACTCGAGAACATGAGTGGAGAGCTTTGTCACTACCAATCGTGTCCCATTACACAAACCCACAGAATGGTCCATTTTCCGCAACAACATGACCGGAGTTCCAATCTTCAAGTACAACTCATGATTCGGTATTCCAGAACACTTTATACTATTCAAAAACTCGGGCGTATGGAGATCAGACAAAAAGTCATTATTAGAATCTGATTTGCACGTATTGTCAGAGATCAAGTACGTACGACCATCCGACAAATTCAACGATGTCATGTACTCATTGATAGAATCGACAATATGCAAAGTCGGCGCTAATATAGCCCTGTCCTTCAAATAACTTGGATCGTTGGTTGCAGTGTTTGTGCATCATTGGAGCCTCATCCCATATTATAAGAGAAGCACGAATTATCAATTCAGCTAGAGGGCTCGATTGATTGATGTCGCAAGTAGATTCCTGGTGTGGATTCAATGGTATATAAAATCGGGAATGCGCCGTTCGTCCACCTGGCAGTAAAAGCGATGCTATTCCGCTAGATGCGACGCATAAGACTATGTTACCCTTGGATCTCAAACTAGCTGATAAGGTCCTCCACAGATACGTCTTCCCAGTTCCACCATAACCGTATACAAAAAACACACCGCCTTGGCCTGATTCAACGGCGAACGTAATTTTGGCGTAGACACTCTTTTGTTCATTAGTCATGTTTTGAAGAAGCGTATCATGTTCAACAGCGAGGGCCTTTCTATCATAATTCAACTCATCTAATATCAGACGATTCGAAGTTGAATGCATGTTGTCCCTGTTAGGATATGGCATAGGTGAATATTCTCGAAGACTTGTACCACGACGCCTCAATAAAGCCTCAATCTCAGCAAGGGCTAGGTTTTGAATTTGCTCCTCAGTAAGCTGTAAAGCTATCAAACCGAACACATAAACAAAGATCCAAACAATTTAAATTAAATCTTCCTATTTGTATATAAACTTGCAAATGAATAGTTATTAAAATTGATATTGATAGATGAAAACAATTAATACCGTCGTTATTGAAAAGTTGACGTTGTCTGTACAGGATGTCATCAGACATACATTGCCAACACTTATTCCATACGTCATCTGGTCTACCAAATGAACCGAACACCAACAAAGTTGCGAACATGCGTCTAAGGGAGTCTGCAGATGCCCACTGACTTGCCTCGGTTATGCCATCTACGTACTCTCGATCGTCCTCTAACAAACCCCGTTCATAGCAAGCATCACGATACGTCAGATACTGGACATCACCGACCTTCATATAGTCCTCATGACATGTTGCCCCACGCACAACAGTAAGCAAACATTGCAAGTAATAATTATCTCCACAAACGGGAGGTACGCACCGCAAACGACCTACAGAGGATTGGTCCTCGTTTTTTTAAGGAGTCCACTGCCTTATTGTTGTATTCCATACAAACTTGGACGGTGCCTCAGCATAAGTTAGTTCCCTCGCTGCAGGATATTGTTTGTTTGCCTCGAACCACGCAAGAAATTGGATCTCATCAACAGTGGGTTTACGGAGAATGTTTTGAAGATTTCCATCATCGTCAAATAATAATCTTTGTTCTCCAAATAAGTGGAAGTTCAAGCGCTGGACGGGAGGTTTTTATACTGCAACTCATGACCGAACAATCGCCATGACGCCTCACACGAAGATATGTACCGACAATCGTAATACATCTTTATCTCATCCAACGATCTTTCAATGTCCGAATCGGTAGAAGTTTGATAAAATGATGCTGTCACACGATCGTTACCCTTGTTGACATATTTGAATAGGTATTTTATAGATCGTGATTGATTGCACCACTCAACATTAATATGCGCTCCAAACTTCAAAAGTAGACGCCGGTTATGAGGCACGATAAAACTGTTGTTGACAACAATACCATTCTTTTCAAGAGAAGTTCCATTGTCACGACGCCTATACCGTGGATAACCCTCTTTCAACTGTTATGGAATCAACAAACTTCTTAGGAAATCGTTTGGTGCATTTTCCATCCACCATACACGGCGAGTCTTTTTTTGCCAGACCACACGGACCATGGATCATATGCTCCTTTACGGCCTCGTAATATTGAGGATCAGAAGATTCATATGGTATCTCCGCTGATATAATTCTGTCTATGTCTGAAGGGTTGGGAAACTTTGACTCTTTCGAAAGGAATAACAATATATGAGCATGCGGTAATCCACGTTTTTGAAACTCGATCGTGTAGACAACTGCATAAGAAAAAAATAAATAAATAAATGAATAAATAGAAAAATTATATATATCATCATCAAGTCAAATTCAAATTGAAATATGAAAAAAATAGTAAATAAATCGTTTGTGTAAATGATTAGGAAATGACTATAGTAATTATATATAAAATATTAAACGTATCACATGCTATTACTTTCCCAAAAATTTGCTTTTGACTGAAATCCCTAATCAATTCCTTAAGTTTAGCTCGAAATACCCTACAGACGTTATCTGGTCGATCCTCAGCTCGCAATTTCTTTGGCTCGAGATAACGAACAATTTCTGGCCATTTGGGGTTACAGGTGAAGGTAATAAACAAATCAGGATACCCAGCCCATCTACAAATTGCCATTGCATCTTGATAGTTTTCAATCATATTCCAAGCACCACCAGTGAATGATGAAGGAAGAATAATTCTTTTTCCTATGGTACTGAGATTGGTGTCGCCACGAAGAACGGCCTCAGCCACACCATTATACAAATCATAACAGAGCTTTTTCTGATTGAGACGAATGTATCTCAACCTTGGAGATTCAACCATGGTATAAGCATCGACTATAAATTGTTGATATAGCCTTCTGGAAGAAACAATAGTCGAAGGTTCACGATCTCTATCATGCATTCTGTATGCAAAGTACTCCCTTACACTGACATGTTTTCGACCATCTTCACGTATTGGTGTACCTTCAGAAAAAGGTATGTCTTCTCTGTACCCATCCACACCATAAGGCAATAGAAGAGGATATTGTAATGCCAAGTAAGAAGCATTTAGTTCATTAATCCGTTGTAGACGACCACTCTTAGTTTCAACCTATATGTCCCTTTCACCCAAAGCCTGGTCAAAATCGCCAACAACCAATATAGCAAGTTCTGAACTCGTAGGCAAATTATATCGCCTGGCATCTTTGTATCTCCTGCCAATCAAACGCATTCGATATTAGATTCGCCAAGATCTCGTATTCTATCTCTGGCCATACGAAATGATTTGACCAGTTCATTGTGTTGGTCTAACATTTGTTTTAATCCAACAACTATTTCCTCATGCAAATTATTACTTCCAGATCCATTCCTGTACATCAATGAGTAAATATTATATGTCAGTATTATAAAATATTAAAAGGATATCTATAGAAATGTTCTATATAATGAACAACATAATTAAAGAATAGATTTATGATTTAATTTTGCATATAAATTAAAGTAATTTCATACCTCACAGCATTCATTTGGTTAGAAATTTCATTCTCCATGTCATATATATACAATTGCGCAAACTTTGGAGAAGCACCTTCAGAAGGAAGCAAACTACCGATTAGATGGTAATTTTGTCCATGCAAAGAAAACACAGGTGGCTCAGTCCCCTTATTGATATCTGAATCTATCTTTCCTCCCAAAGAAGTAAAACCGAACATGTTATTATATGATCTTATGTTATCCTGAAAATGTTTGCTTGATTAGCCATCTCCATGAGGCAAATTTTTCAAGAATTGGGGAGGATTTTTCAAAAGAGGGAGTTCAATTTTGCCATTTGTGCAACAAATGGTGTACTCAGGTACAACTGCATTTTGATTATAAGCCTTTCTCTCCTCATACCAGAACATCGAACCGCAATACATACAACGAAAACTTGTATCACCAAAGTCCCAGTATTCTGTAAATGTTTATGTAATTAAAAATTTTAGAAAACATACTTTTGTTCAAAATTTTGGTTGTCTAATAAAAAGACTAGTATAACATTACCAGAAACTGTTAAAGATGATCCAGTTGTTTTCCTAGGACGACCACGTTTTCTTTTCTGTGTACTTGGTTGAATTGGACTATCAAGTGTGAGATCAATAATAGAACTTTCAGTATTGGTTCATGAGCTATCTCATTACTAATATGCTCCTCATCACGTGTGAGATCGATAAAGATGCTATCAGGCGGATTATGCGTGGGCTTCTCAGAAGATAATATACGACGCTTACGTTGTCCTGATGACATAAAAAAAGACAATAATATATATAAACAATTGTATTTTTACACACAATTTATATTTATATTGTCAAACAAAAAAGAATATTGATATAGCCACATAAGGATAACCCGGTCC